GCTAGGATTAAAAACAAGAGCCTCTGGTGCTTGGATTTTATTTTTGATTTTTATTTTTTATTATGAAAATAATGTACAGAGGGGTTACAATTACATGGGCAACATAATGAGTACATTTCTTTTTCTTTTTTTGGGGGGGGGTCCGGTCATGGGGCCTGAACTCTGGGCCTGGGCACTGTCCCTCAGCTCTTCAGCTCAAGGCTAGTGCTCTACCACTTGAGACACAGCGCCACTTCCAGCTTTTTTCTTTTTTGCTTATGTGGTGCTGAGGAATTGAACCCAGGGCCTCAGGCATGCAAGGCAAGCGCTTTACCACTGAGCCACTTTCTCAGCCCCACATTTGGAGTTTTTATGCTGTTTTTATATATTTACATATAACATACTTCATCCTTCATTATTTCTTTTTTTGCCAGTCCTGAGGCTTGAACTCCGGGCTTGCGTGCTGTCACTGAGCTCCTTTTGCTCAAGACTAGTACTCTACTAACTGAGCCACAGTGCCACTTCTGGCTTTTTCTGTTTATGTGGTAATGAGGAATTTAACCCAGGGCTTCATGCATGCTAGGCAAGCACTCTTATCAATAAGCTACATTCCCAGCCCATCCTTCATTATTCTTTCCTTCCTCACTCCCCGGGGCCCTCCCCCACCCATTCCAGACTATCCTTTCATGTTCCTTATTATTGTTAATAACATAATTGTCATGTTAGGTACAGATTCTACAAATAGTGAAAATTCATGATATGAAGCCATTTGAACTTTGCTTATCAGGGCATGTAATGTCTAACATTTTTTAGATTTTTTTTTGTTTGTCTTCATTTTTCATGATTCTTTTTCCTGTATTTTAGAGCTCACCATTTCTATCAGTTTCTTGACAAGCTATTTACTCTTTTACACTTCCAGTTCAAAATCTACACTTTTTTTTGCTATTCCTGGGGCTTGAACTCAGGGCCTGGTCACTGTTTCTGAGCTTCCCTTTCTCAAGGCTAGCACGCTACCACTTTAGCCACAGAACCACTTCTAGCATTTTCTGTGTACGTGGTACTGAAGAATTGAACTCAGGGCTTCATGCATGCTAGGCAAGTACTCTACCACTAAGCCACATTCATAGTACTTAAGTTTATTCTTCTAATATTTATTTTATGTTTGGCTCAGGTATATTTAAATAAGAGCTTAACAAACCATATAAATGCAATGGAAATGTCCAGCTTTTTTGTACCAGTCCTGGGGTTTGAAATCAAGGCTTGGGGGGCACTGTCCCTGAGCTTTCTTCACAGGGCTAGCCACTTGAGCTACAAGTCTTCTGGCTTTTGGTGATTAAATGGAGATAAGAGTCTCATGGATTTTCCTCCTGAGGGTGGCTTCCAATCATGATCCTCAGATTTCAGCTTCCTTTGTAGCTAAGATTACAGGTGTGAAACACCAGTGCAGCCATGTCCAGGCTTTTGATGGATACAGTCTCTTGGATTTGTCTTCATGGGTCAGCATTGGTATAATCCTTTGGTATAATCTGGAGACTGAGTAGTTAGGATTTCGCCTGTAAAACCAATCCCTCATATCCCTTCCGCTCATATCTGGGTGTTCTTATGCTTTGTTATTGGAGATCCTAGGAAACAAATACACTTACTAAGCAGATTTTGAAAATATAAAAATATATGATTAAAAAGAACTCTCCAAATTTGTCTAGGTAAATTCATGTTTGCTGTAGTTTATTAAATTATTCCCTCCCTTTCAAATATAACTTTGGCCATAATATTACAAATACTTTGTAACCTTAAGTTACAATGGGGTTAACAAGGCATTTTTGTCAGTTTTGGGGCCTAGGTGCTGTCCTTGATCTCTTCAGCTCAAGATGAGCATTCTACCACTTCTGCCACAGCACCACTTCTGGTTTTCTGGTGGATAATTGGAGATGAGTCTCATGGACTTTTCTGACTGGGATGGCTTTGAATTGAGATCCTCAGATCTCAGCCTCCTGGATAGCTAGGATTACAGGTTTGAGCCACTGGTGCCCAGCAACAAGGCATTTTTTGTAATCCTAATTTACAAAGGAAATCCATTGCCTAAATTGTTCAAATACTTCCTAGCATTACTTTTGAAAAACAAATGCCATTTATGTGAGTATGCACATTTCAGTAGCTTCCTCTGACCTATTCCAGAAGCTATTCTAGAACTTTAGAAGCTGCTTGTTTTTTTGTTTTTTGGGTTTTTTTGTTTTCGTTTTTCCCTGATGGAGTACCCAGGGTCTGTGTATGTTAGCCAAGAACCATTCATTAGGGCTGGGAATGTGGCTTAGTGGTAGAGTGCTTGCCTACCATGCATGAAGCCCTGGGTTTGATTCCTCAGTACCATATAAACAGAGCCAGAAGTGGTGCTGTGGCTCAAGTGGTAGAGTGCTAGCTTTGAGCAAAAGCAGCTCAGGGACAGCGCCCAGGCCCTGAGTTCAAGCCCCAGAACTGGCGGAAAAAAAAAAAAGACAGAACCTTTCGTTGCAATTCTGTGTGTGTGTGTGTGTGTATGTGTGTGGGTGCACACGTATAACCTTTTTTTTGCCACTCCTGGGGCTTGAACTTCAGGCCTGGGCACTGTCCTTGAGCCTATTTTTGCTCAAGGCTAGCACTCTACCACTTGAGCCACAGTGCCACTTCTGTTTATGTGGTACTGAAGAATCAACCCCAGGGCTGCTTCAAGCATGCTGGGCAAGTACTCTGCCATTAAGCCACATTCCCAGCCCTCAGAGTAGCCTTTAATTTACAAATATAGTTTAGGCTGGCCTTGAACTCAATGCCTGCCTGCCTCAGCCTCCCTAGGACTGATGTTATAAGTAGCTAATCTTTAGTTCTATGTACTCCACACTATTAAATCCATTATTATTCTAACCTACTGTTAGGGCTAATAATTCTTCAAGTTATTAAACTTTTGTTAAAATTATTGTGTGTTCACTGAGTGTGGAGGGCTCACATTTGTAATCTTAGGTACTCAAGAGGCTGAGATTTCAGGATCTTGGTTCAAAGCCAGCCCCTTTTCTAAAACCTAAGCTAGAAACAGAGCTGTGACTCAAGTGGTAAAGTGCTAGCCCTGAGGGTGGAAAAAAGCTAAGGCATATCTCCCAGGCCCAGAGTTCAAGCCCCAGTAGTGGCACACATACAAAAAAATGTTTGTGCTGGGTGTTGTAATCCTTGCTACTCAGGAGGCTGAGATCAGAAGATCACAGTTCAAAGCCAGCCCAGGTAGGAAAGTCTGTGAGACTCTTATATCCAATTAACCACCAGAAACCCAGAAGTGGTGCTGTGGCTCAAGTGGTTGAGCCCTAGACTTGAGATGAAGAGTAAGAGTTGAAGGACAGCACCGAGGCCCAGAGTTCAAGCCCCATGGACGACAGAAAAAAAAATGTATCATACATTAGTTATACAGAGAGGATTTCCTTGTTATAGTTCCACTGTTTTTTTCTCTTCAGTGAACCCAAACTTATATGGAAGTGGTCACCATGACACAAATGACACATGAATTTTGAAATAAGCCAGAAGTGTATTTTAATGACTTTTACTGCATTTTCTGTAAAACTAATGTTGCAAATATACTCCTCCTCCGACTCCTCCTCCTCCCCTTCCCCCTCCCCTTTCCTCTCTTCCTCCTTTTTCTCCTCCCCTCCCCTTCCCCCTCTCCTTCCCATTCCCCCTTCTCCTTCCCCTCCTCCTCCTCCTCCTTCCCTGAGCTGCTTTTGCTCAAGGCTAGCACTCTCCCACTTGAGCAACTGCTCCACTTCTGGCTTTTTCTGTTTATGTGGAACTGAGGAATTGAGCCCGGGGCTTTGTGCATGCTAGGTGAGCACTCTACCACTAAGCCACGTTCCCAGCCCCTGTATTTGGTATTTTCAAACAGAATAGAAAATTATCCTATAAACAGTACAGAGATGGGTAGTATTATTTTTTTTTCCGGTCATGGGGCTGAACTTTGGGCCTGGACGCTGTCCCTCAGCTCTTCAGCTCTAGGGTAGAGCTCTACCACTTGAGCCACAGCACCACTTCTGGCTTTTTCTGCTTATGTGGTGCTGAGGAATGGAACCCAGGGTCTCATGCATGCAAGGCAAGCGCTCTACCACTGAGCCACTTTCCCAGCCCCATAGTGTTAAATTTTATGTGCGAGTGTGTGTCAGTATTGGGCCTGAGAGCTTGAACTCAGGGTCTTATTTTTGTTTAGGCTTTTTCTGCTCAAGGCTAGTACTTGGAATCATAGCTCTACTTCTGGCTTTTTGGTAGACAGAGATAAGAATCTGAAGGAATTTTCTGCCCCGGGCTGGTTTTGAACTGTCACGCTATGATGTTAGCCTCTAAAGTGACTAGGATTATAGGTGTGAGCTATCAGTGCCTGGCTCACGCTAAACACTTAAGAAAGGGATTTGACGTATGGCTGCCAGAATATTTCTCATGCAATATTTACCAGAATTGGGGATTAGTTTGGTCTTCTGTAACAATGTTAACCTTGTACTGTTGACTACCGAGCACAGTATTTTCATTTGATACAAAAATTATTTTTTTTCCTCCTTCGGGAATAATACCCTAAAAGGAGGCGACCGCAAGCCTCCTTTTCGTGTGGTGGGGAAGCAAATAAACAGAAATCAAATAGTTCCTAAGACATTAGTAGGTAGGTGGATCCGGTCAACCCAAGAGAAGTTTCTCAATTCCGCAAAAGGGGAAAGGGTCCTCCGCCGGAAAGGGGCGGGCTGTCTTTACCGGAAGAGCCGACGACAACCGGTTGGTGGAGGCCAAAGTGATCAGTGAGTTTTACGGAAGTGGCTAGAGCGTCGACACGTCAGTAAACACTTACTCCTCCCTCATGGAGTGGTAGCTAGGCAACCTTAGCCTCTACGGTAGTCATAAAGCCAGGTGTTTACTTTAGTGCCTCTGGCGGCGAACAGGGGGAGTTGCAAGCTCCTCTCACCATTTTTTACCCTCCCTTCTCTCCACCCCTTTTGCCTCCGCCCACCACCCCTCCGAGACTTCGGCTCCTCCCTCTTCTTCTCTCTCTTGCTCTCCTTCCTCCTCCGCCTCCTCAGCTCTTGGGCTAGAATATCTATGGGTCGAAACGTGATGCGATGAATCCGAGAGAGACCGAAACTGGGACGAGGAGAGCGGCGGAAGCGGCGGGACTCCTGGGCATGGGGGCTTCACCACAATAGAGGCAGCATCCTCACCCGCCCCCGCCAACCCCTCCGGAGCGAAGCCCCCAAATCCCCTCGGGAAAAGGATGGCGGCGGCACCTACTCAGATCGAAGCCGGTGGGTAGCTGTGTCCAGGGGCTAAGTGCATGGGGGCTTAGCCAGACGGCTGTCAATTTTTTTCCCCTGAGAAAGCTTTTAATTCTCTTCTTTGCTTCCCTCTCTGTCTCCCCTCCCTCCCTAGAGCTGTATTACCTGATCGCTAGGTTCTTGCAGTCTGGACCCTGTAACAAATCTGCTCAGGTGAGAGGAAGAAGAGTATCTGGGAATCTTAGGGGAATATTCTCACTGGGGAAATCGAGGCAGCGGGCTGAGCAGTTCCTTTCAGGGTGAGGAAAAGCCGGCCTTGACTAGTCCTACAGTCAGCGGCTGGGTTCGAAATGGGGAGGGAGGATTGGGTTGTTGGTCCCAGCTGCTTCTCACATTCGTGTTTCTCTTTTGCTCAGGTGCTAGTGCAGGAGCTTGAGGAGCATCAGGTACGGAGCCCCCTCAGGAAGGGGTGGGAAGGGCTGGGGTGAGAGTGGAGGAAGGGGAGGGCAAGTGTGGGGCTGAGGGTAGGGCCCGGGAAGGACTCTTTGGTCTAGGCACCAGATCTTGTCACCAGGGTGAACTGGTTTCTTTCCTGAAAAGGGGCGGACGACGCAGGGCTCTTACGCGCCCCCTCTTTATGCCTTTGGGAGGACGTTTTTCGGAATATCCTCTCCCTAGGCCTCCCACTTGTCTGGTTCTAGAGGAATAGCTTATTGGGATGAGAGAAATAAAGACTCCCAAGGGTCGAGGACCTGGTCACCGGCTAGGTCCTGTTGGTGAGGTGCGAGCAAGGCTTCGCCTTCATCGTCTGTCCCCCTCCCCCTTTCTTTTCCTCCGGCCCCCAGCTGATTCCGCGCCGCTTAGACTGGGAGGGGAAAGAGCACCGTAGAAGCTTCGAGGATCTGGTGAGTAAAGTTTTCACTTCAACTTAATCCAACTCTGTCTTCACTCCCCCCCTCCCTTGTGCCCCCAACCCGCCTCCGACCCCTCCACCTACACCGCTTGTGAGCCTGGTGCTGAGCCTAAGAACGACTGTCCCTTCCCCCTCCCCGCGAGTCAGGAGAAAGGCTACCTTGCCCTCCTTCTCTTAGCCTCTAATGCTTACACCGGAAAACTTTGAAAAATGTGAGTTGATTATCAGAGGAGCGGTGTTACAGATTATGAATATATTACAAACGTCGGGGAAGGCCCATTGTAGGGGAAAAGGGAGAGAAACCAGGGGGTTATCTTGGGGCACGTACCAAGGACTGACGCTGGCCAATGACAGCGTTGGTAACAGCTCGGAGTTCCGGATTAGTGGAAGAAAACTGGCTTCTGGTTGGCCCTGGCTTGAAATACGGGAACTGAGGCCAGACTTGTTTTTTTTTTTTTCCTTTTTTTTTCTTTTTTTAAGAGGGGAGGGGAGAAGGGGCTCAAAAGGGGAGCTGACGGACCCAGGACCGGGGGAAATGACACAATTAAAAATAATAAGGACCACTGAGCGATTTCCCAAATTTCCCGGCTTTAAATAATGGGCTATGGGATAAAATCAGCATTGTATAGTTCTGATCTTAGAAAATACCTCATTAAGTCATCAGTAAATCGCAATTATACAAATACATTTTCAGTAAATAAAAACTGGATTGTGATCTTTTTAGGAATTGGTGAATCAGGCTTTGGGCATTACAAGAAGACAACAATGGGCATATTTTTAAAATAGAATACACTTTAGTAAAGGACTGAAGTCATTGGATTGAGTGTTGTTTCTTCTACAAGTATAATTCATAGTATGAATAAACCTGTACAGCACTGACACAAAAAAAGGTGATGCATTTTATTTTTGGGAGGAGGTTCTACTGTTAGCTATAGACATAGTGAATTACATGATAAGGGGGGATAGAGGTGATGTTACTAAAATTTAAATTTAGCTATATTTTCTTCAAATTAGATTGACAAGATGAAAAGACGACAAAGTTAAAGTTGGAAGAAGATGGTAGTCTAAATATAAAGAAAATTATTTAAATTGGCTTTCAGTAAGAAAATATCTAAATTGCTTTGCTGTTCATTTTGATACTTCTCTTTGTATTATATTACAACAGTGAAGCATGTTAATCATTTCCAAATATACTAAATTTTTTCTTATAATTTGCAAACCATAAAATGGTATAATAATTGTGATTAAGAGAATCTGGGTTGTCTGCACTATTACTGCAAATAATTTCTCAGAAGGATAAAAATTACTTCTAAAAACAGTATTTTCAAATTATTTAATTTATAGGCAAGAGATTTTGTTGAACTTAAGTCATGCATGCCCTTTAAAAGGCAAAAACAGCAGTGCCTACTGATACATGTTTTAACAGGTCATTATTCATATGTTTTTGAAAATAATTTTAATAGTGAGGTGTATTGAAAATGCTTTTGTTTATACTTGTCTGACACCTAAATGGGTATGCGGGTAGATCATTCTTAAGCAAGTGGTACTAGATACCAAACAAAATAAGACTAACTTGATGGAACATTGAATCATTAAAAAGTCTACTCAGGGCTGGGAAGGTGGCTCAGTGATAGAGCGCTTGCCTTGCATGCATGAGGCCCTGGGTTCGATTCCTCAACACCACATAAAAAGAAAAAAGCCGAAGTGGCGTTGTGGCTCAAGTGGTAGAGTGCTAGCCTTGAGCTGAAGAGCTGAGGGACAGAGCCCAGGCCCAGAGTTCGGGCCCCACAACCGGGCCCCCCCCCAAAAAAAAAAGTTACTCAGATCCCGGGGCCAGTGGCTCATGCCTGTAATCCCAGCTACTCAGGAGGCTGAGATCTGAGGTTCAAAATTCAAAGCCAGCCCAAACAGGAAAGCCTGTGAAGGAATCTCTTTATCTCCAGTAAACCACCAGAAAACTGGAAGTGGCACTGTGGCTGAAGTGGTAGAGCCTTGAGCTGAAGAGCTGAGGGACAGTGCCCAGGCCCCAGAGTTCAAGCCCCACCACACCCGACAAAACAAAACGGTTACTCAGTATTTAAGGTTGATAGGAATTAAAAATTGGTTAAGCTACTTTTTTGTCCTTTAAAAAGCATCACTGTATTTAGTAAAAGGGCATAGTAAATTGGTTGAAATTTATCCCATTTTAAACATCAATATTAGACTTTTCCTTCACTTATATTGCATAGGGAATTTTTTTTTTTTTGCCAGTCCTGGGGCTTGAACTCAGGGCGTGGGCACTGTCCTTGAGCTTCTTTTGCTTAAGGCTATCGTTCTACCACTTGAGCCACAGGGCCACTTCCACCTTTTCCTGTATATGTGGTTCTGAAGAATCCAACCCAGGGTTTCATGCATGAGAGGCAAGCACTGTAGGACTAAGCCACATTCCCAGCCCTGGAATTTTGTTTTTGTAGATTGTTGGGCTTGCACTGTGGGCCTGGGCACTGTCCCTCAGCTCTTCAGCTTAAGGCTAGCACTCTACCACTTGAGCCACAGTGCCACTTCCGGCTTTCTGAGTGGTTTATTGGAGATAAGAGTCTTATAGACTTTCTTTTTTTTTTGGATCCGGTAGTAGGGCTTGAACTCTGGGCCTGGGCGCTGTCCCTCAGCTCTTCAGTTCAAGGCTAGCGCTCTACCACTTGAGCCACAGAGCCACTTCCGACTTTTTTCTTTCTTTTTTGCTTATGTGGTGCTGAGGAATCGAACCCAGGGCCTCATGGCATGCAAGGCAAGCACTCTACCACTGAGCCACCTTCCCAGCCCAGAGTCTTATAGACTTTCTTGCCCAGGATGGCTTTGAACAGTGATCCTCAGATCTCAGCCTCCTGAGTAGCTAGGATTACAGGCATGAGGCACTGGTGCCCAGCGGTCCTGAAAATTTTTATATAATTAACATCTATTTTATTCTTTGTAGGTTTTTTTTTTTTGTTGTTTTTTTTTGGGGGTCCGGTCATGGGGCCTGAACTCTGGGCCTGGGCACTGTCTCAGCTCTTCAGCTCAAGGCTAGCACTCTACCACTTAAGCCACAGTGCCACTTCAGCCTTTTTTCTTTTTGCTTATGTGGTGCTGAGGAATCGAACCCAGGGCCTCATGCATGCAAGGCAAGCGCTCTACCACTGAGCCACCTTCCCAGCCCCACATATATCTTTTTAAAGGTTAAGCTTACTTAACCTTTAACCAGGTTTTTTGTTGTTGTTGTTGGAGACTGGAATTTGAATTCAGTCACTCATTGGCTGGTGCTCTACCACCTGAGCCTGGCCTTCAACCCCCCCCCCCCAGGTGTTATTGTTACCCTTGTTTATCTATATGTATACCTACATATTCTTGATTTTTGTTCATTTAGTTATATTTTAGATGCTTTGAGATATAGAAGACTCATCAATTAGCCCTGGGTGGTCCAGCTGCTTTTTAGTCTCCCTATTATTTATTATGTGTTTTTGTTATTATAAAGGTGATGTACAGAGGGATTACAGTTACATAAATCAAGTAGAGTACATTTCTACATTGTGTCTTTTTGTATTCAGTTGATACTTAGAGGCCGTTTCTACCTTTTGACTTTTTTATTTAGTTGATAATTTTTTTATGCTACCTGCCTGCAGTTTTTGGAGCACTAAGAATGGAACCCAGACCAGTTGCAAGCATGCTCTACCATTAGTCTACATCATTTTCTTCAAACATTTAATGTTTTTATGCACGGATAATCTCTCTTATGGCTGAAATGTTTACATAGTGGTGTGCTCTTTAATTTTCCTTTGAGCTTTTATATTGTGAGCTTAGATTTAAATTTTAAATTTAAATTTTCATACCAAGATCTAGGTTTGGGGGAAATTTTATCGACCTTTTTTTGGTGCCAATCCTGGGGCTTGAACTCAAGGCCTGGGTGCTGTCCCTGGGCTTTTTTTGTTGTTGTTGGTCGTGGGACCTTGAACTCTGGGCTTGGGCACTGCCCCTCAGCTCTTCAGCTCAAGGCTAGTGCTCTACCACTTGAGCCATAGCTCCACTTCCAGCTTTTTCTTATGTGGTGCTGAGGAATCGAACCAGGGCCTCATTCATGCAAGGTAAGCATTCTACCACTGAGCCACCTTCCCAGCTCTGTCCATGGGCTTTTGTACTTAAGGATAGTACTCTATCAATTGAGCCAGTTTCATTTCCAGCTCTTGGGTGGATAATTGGAGATAAGAGCCTCATGGATTTTTGCCAGTGCTGGCTTTAAACTGAGATCCTCAGATCTCAGCCTCCTGAGTGGCTAGGATTATAGGTGTGAGCCACTAGCACCTGGCTTATTATTATTTTTGGGGGGGGGAGGGGAATCTGGTTGTGGGGCCTGAACTCTGGGCCTGGGCGCTGTCCCTCAGCTCTTCAGCTCAAGGCTAGCGCTCTATCACTTGAGAGCCACAGCACCACTTCCGGCTTTTTTCTTTTTGCTGATGTGGTGCTGAGGAATCGAACCCAGGGCCTCAGGCATGCAAGGCAAGCGCTCTATCACTGAGCCACCTTCCCAGCCCCTGGCTTATTATTGACCTTTTAAGACAGATGTCTGTTCTCTACCTATGGATTTCTTTGTAAGAGGGTTGAGAATTTGAAGAAAATGAAGTATACTAGGTTCCCAGTGTTAAAATTAATCACTAGATTAATCAATGTATTGTTGATTAAAAGTTTTTCATATCTGGCATCTAACTTTGAGTAGTTTCATCATAGGTGGAATGGAGTGCTTTTATTGAGGTAGATAATTAGATTGATAGGTGTGTGCAATATGGTCTCTTGACTACATATCAGGATTGAAATTTTGGAATGTATTCATGAATAGTATAGCCTTTTTTCTGGTATGTTACAAAACTATTACAAAACAATACTTGAAACTTAAAGTATCTTTTCATATGAGAGGAAAAACTATAAAAATCCATAATTTAGATCTGTAGGATTATAAACAAGGTCAATGTACTAAATCTGAGC